CAACTCTCTGATAATGATTTCTGAATCAATCGTCTCGGTTATATACTTTACAGAAATCATCTCTAACCGAGCATCGCCAAATTCTTCCGCCACAACCTGCCAATTTAATTGAAAGTTCATTAAATTTTTTTCTCGTGCATTCGTTTTGGAGTGTGAATTTTCTTTTTCATTTACGTCGTCACTTTCACCTTCCATGCAAGGTGTCCACATAGAATCAACAATCGCCGAAGAAACTTTCTGTCCGTCTTCTCCAACAACCGGAGCATAGTTTACTTTAAAAAATCGATTTCTCTGATTGATTCCTTTTTTTAGTGACTGCAGCGGTACACGCCGTTCGCATTCTTCCAAGCTCTTTTTTCCATGATAATGCCGTATATGATGATGAAAGGTGTCGAGATTTCCATGCACATAACCGTTCCCGCTCTCCATGCAGGGTATACACTCGTATCCATTAAGCAATACAGGAAGTCCGCGAATATACTCATACACTTCTTTAAAGGAAGAATACTTTGCCAATATCTCTTGCGTAGTCGAAAAACTCCAGTTATTTAGCTCTCTAGCCAAATCCAAATCCATTTCTGATTTATGCTTTACCTTTAAATGTCGCTTGACGCTTGCTTGGTCGACAATCGACTCACATTCCACACAAACAAGAGCCTGAATCGATAATACTTGTAAGCTGTACTTTGCTAATCTTGTATTTATTTCCTTATACATCTCGTCGGCATCGGCATCGGCATCGGTATCGCTATCGGCGTTGGCGTTGGCGTCTCCCGTTTTATCTTGTGTATGTTGCCAAACGAGTTTTGCACTTGCTGGTCCATCTCCCGCAAAACAGGCAACTGACGACGCCGTATGAAATGGAGGTTCTAAAGGGTTATCGTTGTCGTTGTCGTTGTCGATGTTGTTGTCATTGTTGTTGGCCATATCTTCTTTTTCTCCCTCGGCAAAGTTGACTGAAAAACGATTCGCATCTTTCAAACTGGCATCAACATCAACAATATTATCATCATCATCATTGACAATAATCATACCATTGATATTTACAGGCGACGACAACGACGACGCCGTAGCCGGCATCGGCATTGGCATTGGCACGTCTTGATTGGTTTCTACGTTTTCCTCAAGAAACCTCGGACATACTTTGGCATGCTGTATAATTCATCGGGGATTTGTAAACGGTTTGAATCAAACACAATAAAAGCAGCCATCTTCCTTGCGATGGAGCTCAATCGGACAAGAGGTATCATCCTTACGGATACAAACAACCGACTGGTGGACCATTCGACGATGATTATCCGACTTGGATTTGGAAGAAAACGAGTCTGGGCATTGTTTACATTGAAACATTACCGGTCTTGAACGAAAAGAAAAACAAAACGAATGACAACAGTAGGAAAAGAAAACACTAAAAACAATATATATAAATATATCAATATATGTAAATAACTCAAGTAAAGTAAAGTAAAGTTAAAATAAAATAAAATATAAAAGTTAGAAACCTACCACCAATAAAAGAAAATGCAAACGCTAAATATTAAGCTATAAACAATAATGAACCAATGTAATATATAATATAACAAGATTTTCGAAATTTAAAAATGTGCAACTCAAACTCCAAAACAATTTTTAACGATTGATGATCGGCTTCAATAAACATTTCAACTAATTATAAGCGAGGCTGAATAGATAATGTTACAATCCTGTGGAGCAAAAACAAGCCAACCCCCCACCAAGCCTTACGGTAATCTGACGAACGGAATCGCCTGTGCCAAACAGATGCTAAGCCTGACCACATCCAAACTCTCAAAAGTAACCGTAACCTTTCTTTCTTTTCTTTACAGTCTTAGTCTTAGTCTTGGTCTTAGTGTTAGTGTTTGCCTTTGTTTGCTGTTTGCTGTTTGCTGTTTGCTGTTTTGCTGCTCCAAACCCAAACCCAAACCGTTAGTGGGGTTAACCGGCTTACTGGGGGTAAAAGTGCTAACGGCGTTAACGGATTACATGCGTTAGAATGTTAAATTGTTATACACTTACATGCGTTCTACTTGTAGTGTGTTACAAATCTTGTCTGTTTAGTGACTAAATATGAATACAAATACCAATGCCTTTCTCTGTCAAGCTCAACGAGCCGAACTGCCACAAGCCAAGCGAACGAAAATGACGAATATAAAAATATCCATCATACTCAGAACCAACAAGTTAACCGAAAGTTGCACTGTAGTGTCATTATATATAAAAAAATCAGAGTACGTGTGGTTTTCTCGTTTTTTATTTATCTGAATAGTGAATAATTATCAAAAAAAACAGTTGCTTTGCGAGATATTCGAGAAGGCTTTCGCGAGAAAAACATCGTATCTGTTTACAATGATGCTAGCCTAAGTCAATGTATTCGTTTTCTACTTCTTTTAATCGTCTCTTTCCTATATTTATTTAAATCTTCAAAGTCTATTCAGCTAATGAACCAGACGATGTATGTACTTTTAATTGAGTAATGCGTACTTTTAAGAAAAGTGTCTTGTCATTTTTTGCTATTCGCTCTGCTATATACTTGGGTTATTCTTTTATAATTCTCTAACAAAAAATATATTTATACGAAAAGTCAAAAAGTCTGAGAAACAACTGTTGCAACTATTTCATATTTAATACTTCATATTCAATAACCAATATTTATACAAACTAATACATAAAGAGAATACAACCAAGAATAACCATCACTCCTAGTAAATATAAATGTTTTGAGCCTTGAGCTTCTTTGTACACATTCAGCATGTTTGCCTTATTGTTTCATTTCTATTAGCTTTGGTATGTATTTTCACACAAACTTGTTCAATAGCTTATGCACTCTTGATCCATGCGAAAAAAAACGTTATGATAACAAAGTAAACTTGTAAAAAGTTATTTTTCTTTTTCTATAGTTTCGTCCTTTTTTCTCTGCGTTTTTTTTTATTTTCTAATTTATTTCGTTTTATTTTTTGTATTCTATTTATTTATTTATTTTTTTATAACGAAACATATAAAATAACTTCCTTATTAATGTGTAACATATTTTGCTGCCTAGTCTCTACTAACTGAAATAAAATGGTCTCGTTCAAAATCGTTTTTATGGCTATAGTGGAGTGTATTACACATTTTTATCAATAAAAAAGAGTGTTTCGTTATAGTTTTGTAACGTGCAATTCGGTGCAGTTTGGTAATAAAAATAAAACACGCTCATTCGAAAACGGTTCTACAATTGTAGCGAAACGCACAGTATCATTAGAGTGCAAATACAGCATAACGTTAAAATCCACTCAAACAAAATATGATACCCAAGTGTTGCTCCTTCTTTTACTTTACTGAAACATAACGTAAAGCATGGTATATCTTGTAATATTACTTACTGTGTTTTACCATATATAACAGTATAGCAGAATGTATTATCCAAAAGTATTTTTGTTTCTACTTATTTCTGTCATTCTCAACAGTTACTATTACCTTACAAACTACTTAGTTACATAGTTTATTACTACC